TGTCCATCAAAACAGTCTACTTTTCCGCTAAAAGTTGCCAAAAAAATATTTAAAATGAAAAAATTTTGTTGAAAATCTTATGAAGTACAATTTCCGAATGGTTTCCCAAGAGTACTCGTTTCTCTTTAAAGTAGAAGCCCGAAGGCATTCTAAAAAACGTGCAGATTTTATTCACTTACTGCTACTTCAATGAAGAAATGAAGCAGAAATAGAAGGTAGACAGTGTTCCATGAGTGACTGTGACCTGGACAGTTTTGCACCACTTATGAGGGACTTATATAAAAAAGCTACACAAAAAATGTGACTGTATTTATACTCTCGCTGATGACATGGAACCGGCAAACTCAGCTATGCAAACTAATATATAACTATAAATTTGTGTTGTATTTTTTCTTCCACCGTTGCTCATGAATGTACCCCATTACACTCAAAACTTGAACTGCTCTTTGATTTAATTAAAATGCAGTTCCAAATACCGGTTTACTGTAGCTTTCAAATATCCAAAGCCGTCCAGTAACAATAGATTTAACGATAGATTTTAAAAATAAAGATGTCTCAAAAGATATCCATGTTTTTGAAGATGCGTAGTAACCGTTTAAACTTTTTTACTTTACTGACTTTTCTACAATCTTCAAACGATATTTTTGTAAAGGCTTCTTTCCTTTCCCCATTGATGCATTGTTACGGTTAAAGAGATGACCACTATTACAGTTACAGCGTAATAAATTTTCAAAGGTTGCTGAAAACTTTGGAACCAAAAAACAGAAAAGTTTTCAGCCTCTTATAAGGTCGGATTAATAAAGTAATTTTATAAATATCAATAACTAGTAAAAAATCTGCATAACTTCAGTTACAGAAATACTGAAACATAAATTAGTAACTGGGTTTTGTATCTTACACTTATTTTCTCGTTGTATTACTTCGAATAAAATCTTTTGAAACTAAAAAACAACAAAGGCTACCGCTTTTTTCCGAGTCAATCTTCCTCTCCTTCAGCACTGATGAAAAATGTGACGAATTTCTCAGTAAGAGCTTGATCTTACTTAGAGACAAGTACTAACATCATTCGTTCATTGGCAATAATCAACTATAGCGATTTTATAAAAGCTCGAAAAGTAAATTGAAGCCGCAGGAACTACCACATGTTGACCAGATGCTGCTGCACAAAATTTATTAAATTCATGGCTATACAAAACCATAAAATCTTGCATTTTTACAGACTACAGCTGCTTGTCTTTCATCAGAATTCCCACTACTTTTGCTATTGTTCTGCGGATACGCACACAGAAACTTACCACCCGTTATCAAGTAATAATTTTTTAAAGATTTGCGAGTCCCAAAAAAACTGCTAATATCTTCTGAAAAAACTATATCCTTATCGTCAAAAAAACAACAACTTTATAAACTCAATAAATCACCAACAGAAGAATAATGAAACATAGCACCAGCGTTTTTTGGCTACGTGGTGAGACTATGATTTTCTACTACTTCCACTCCATGAATATTGTCAGAAAAGTTGACAAACTTCATAAAAGTAAAGTGGCTGTGCTTTTTAAATAAGCTATGAAATTTACCTCAGCTTTTTAAATATCATTAACAGGGTGCCACTTAGAATATAATAGAATTACTTCATACTATACAAGGAAATGACCATATCAAAATACTGTAAAAAAACGATTACTTATTTCAAACATTAGGTTCAGACCAAGCTTTATGTAAAAACAAAATCTTAGTTTCACGAAAACAATTGAAAAAAAGAAGAAAACGGCAAACGGGGAAGTGATAAATCAAAAATATTACTGCAAACGTTTCAGAATTCAAACCATCCTCAAATAAGTCCGTATGTGGCACAAATATGAGTGTTCAAAGAGCAAAGAAAGAAAGAACACACTAATCGGAAATAAAATAGTCTTTTCAAATGCAAAACTAAAATTTCTCACAACAAGGAACAAGACGCAAACAAACATCTGACCCCTTTTCTTTAGAGTTTTCCAAATGCGCAATTCGTGTGCCAAACTGCATAGCTTGCTTCGGAGCAGAATATAATTCTTCAGGAACACCCAATCTCTAGAATAATCCCAGCGTAAATCTGACTTTTTTGAGTAAAACAATCATTTTCTATCTTCCAAAGAATTCCAAGTCAAACATACTCGACAAAGTTAAGTAAATTTGAGGCCTACCTTTAGAGCTTCGCGGATTATCTTTTTTTCACCAACACCTCTTTCCTTCTTGAAGTCCGTTTTACATTCCAACGGTAGCTGATTAGCCCAGCTTACAAAAATTTCGTCAAGGTATGGAGCTCTGTATAAAGTTTCTTTTAATATGACACCAAGAAAACTACGGTTTTAGAAAACCGTTTTAGAAAGATGAAAAAACTATCAGCTAAGCATAAGTAGTAGATATTCCACCTGATATTTCTTCCGTGACCTAGGGTTACTCGATCATCACGACCAAGATTTCTTCGTCCAATAACCCGTAGCTCTTCTTCCAGCCCATCTATAACAGCATCTCTGTCTCCTTTATCATAGGCATGCCTATGGCGCATATATCCTCCAAAGACTTCATCCGCTCCACTGCCTACTAATGCAACAGAAGCAACAGATCTAAAAAACAAAAAGGTATAAGCACCATGACTAGCTGAAAAAAAGGAAGCACTGAGAGGATGCAAGGGGAAAAGAGGAGTGAACAATTAACGTTAGCACAAGTCTAGCAAAAGATAAAGAACAATAACCTTATTGACTTCATTTCTTGAATGTTTCTATCCTCCTCATAAACTAATCCTTCCCCTTTGGCTGCAAACCATTGAACACACCCGATTGAATCATCTAGCACCGAGCATGAAGGCGCGATTAAAAAAGCTATAGATTCTGAGCGGCACCTGGATAGTTCGGTTCTGCCAACATTGACTAAGATTAGTCGATATAAACTTTTTAGATATTTTTTTTTCAGATATGAATAAGCTTTTAGCCCTCGTCTTCTATCTGGCGCTCCAGAAAAGTCCTTAAAGTTGAAAATAAGAAAAAAGAGGCAGTAGAGGATGTTATTTCTTAACCGTCAAATAAAAATACTTTGAGAAACATAGCACTAAGAAGCAAGATGAAAAGCTGGTATATACCCCGCTTTTTTCGTCGAAAGAAACATTGATCAAATCAATGAAACAGTGTGCAGGAAGAAAGCGCTGAGCAAGCAATGCAATGAGCAGACTGTCAACTCCACCACTAAACAAGATAGCAACAGATCTCGATGCTTCGGTTAAACCAATCAAACACCTTTGGAGCGCTTCACCAAACATTTTTATAAACGTATCAACAACCTCAAACTCATTCGTAAACTGAAACCTTCGATCGTAAAAGGCTAGCAGAAAGAAAAACAGTAAATGACTGTTTAGAAATAAAGCAAAAAAATTGTAAAACCTTATCAGAAGAAACAGGCTCCCGATTTAATGACAACAATCTTCTTTGTAGACCTTCCAGTGAAGCAGAAGAAACAGTTTGAAACTCCTCAACCCAAGAAAACTTTAATTCCCTACAAACTGAAAATATCGACAAGTGGTACCAGAGATCTTCAAAATCCAAGAGTGAGATTGTTCCCGAGGGTAATTCTGACCACTTTCCCTAAATCCGTGCACTGTTCATTTGGTGCATTCACAAAGGTCTTATAAAAAAGGTTACTGCTTTGTTGTGTCCAGCTGCTGTAAAGTCAAATAAAAAAGACTTTACAGAAAGTGTTATGTGACAGCAAAGATTACTTTACTACCGACGACTAAGGGCGAAATAAGTAGCTTGTTTTCAGTTCGCAACCAAAGAAGACTCTTCCGACCAAAAACATCACGTCCAAATATTATTTTCTTCAAATCGAGCTAAAAACAGAAGGGCTTATTCAGAAATGTAAAGGAAAGACTAATATAAGATAGTTTTTTAAAGTTAGCTTACAATACAAAAAAAAATGGCTTTAAATTTATAGCAAATGACTGAAGCCTTTGAAATATCTTATCACAGAAAACCCTACCCGAATGTACACAAAAGCCCAAGGTCCACAAAAGCGCTCCACTTCTGCAATAATGCCATTCACATCGTGTTGGTTAAGCAGTTCAAAAATGTCTTCAGGACTTAAGATAGTGTACGGTTGTTGGGAATCTTTCTGAGAAATTTATCTGTATATTACGAGGTTAAAAAAACTAATGAGACTTCTGAATTTTATGAGAGAAAACTTATTTCGGGCTAATAATTACACAAGAAAAATAAAAATAAAATAAACAATAAACATGTAACTTACAGAATCTAACCTGTAGATAGAGCCAAAAAACAATAAGGTACCCTTCGAATCAGAGATTGGTTCTACATCCTGAAATACAGCTGGCTCACTTTATTCATTTTATGAACAAGACATTACAAGAACAGATAAAAATCCTTCTGAATGGATAAGTAAGCGCATTTTTGAAACAATTGTCAACAGCTTTTGTCATAACAAAACAACCAAATTTTGTGCTTTGAGGCTGACAGAGTCAGAATTTGCAGAGAGAAATAAATATGGCAAACCTGAAGGGTAAAAGATCCGGCTGATGATATAATAATATGCGGAACTCCTGTCTCCATTTATCACTTCGTTGACTTATCAGATTCCTGAAATCCATTTATCGTTGCTTACAATATCAGGGACAACTATACAGACTAGCTGTATGACATAACACACGCATTTATTATCGTGAAGCTAAGGCTCTGAGCCAAGAAATTAGACTCTCCATTTTCAGAACTTATGGCATATTTCCAAGTAAAAATTCAGTCGTTTGGCGGAAAAAGTACGCCTTACTTTTTCGCTTATCGCCACTTTTGAGAGCATCTATGTTGAAGCGGAAGCGACATTTTTCACTGAGCCGGTTAGCTAAAATTCGATGGCATCTGTTTCAACTCAGTTAGGCAGTTGAGTGGAGTTTTACCTTAGTTTATCTACTCGAGAGAGTAGATTTTTTTATTGACAACTTGACTTCATTTTAGATTTTTCAAAGAGCTTATGGGTATTCTGGAATCAAACAGTATAGTTTCATGAAATTTGAAGCTGTTTTATCAGCTACAGGTTCTAACTTTCAGTGGCTCTTCGGCTCTTAAACGCCTAAATGTACTTTTTTTTAAATTTTATTTTAGACTATTTATTTGAAGAAATAGTGGCATGGGGGGTCTAAAATCTTATTTCAGTGACAGTACTTGAAGTTCTGTTATGCAGCTACTATACTATATATTGCGACGCTAGCCTAGAATTTGCTGGCTACAAGAAACTGGCACCATGTATTTGTCGCTAAACAGTCTCGTTTAATCTACAAGGTAGTTTAGGAACATCTGTTGTTTACGAAAAGTTACCTAACGGTAATCAAGTCTTCCCGAAATTGATTAGTTTCAGCTAAATATGTGATTGTCTTACAATAATAACGTTTGCTAATCACACAGTTATTAAAATAAATTGTATGAATTTTGTTCTGATTGAAAACGGTGTCTATAAGGTTCATATCTGACAGGCCGATTTATCATTAAGTCACTGCTAGTCATTCAAATTTTATATCTGTTTAACTGCTTTTGTTGTATGGATACTTGGAATTTGAATTGCTTGTTGGTAAAGTATTTAACAAATATCCTGTTTCAAGTGAAATTGACTATGAAGACAGAACTGTGCAGTGTTTATGACGTTGCATGTTGTATAAAAATTACTACTGTTTGATAATTTTACAGCTAATGCAAATACTGGTAATATCAAAGAATCAACAAAAATTCAAATGATTATTTTTAAGCAGATAATTGAAGGAATGTTGTTTAAAAAATTTTTTGAAATTTTTTGGTTCTACAACTGACCAATTACTCATAAGTGGTCGTTGTTTTAGTTGAACTTTAATTCAAATCAGCTTCAGAATGTGTGGGATTAAAATTTTTTGGCAAAGTGTTCAATAAACGTTATGTGTTCAAAAATGAATACAAAACCGATTTGTGAAGTGCTTATGTTGTTATATTTGTCAGGAATACTGTCGACTATTAATAATTTTACTGTAAATGCGGGTTGTGGCAATATAGAAAATTTAGCGAAAATTTGAAGTAATCGTTGTTCTA